GGTTCCCTTTTGTGTAGCCTATAAAGTCTGGCCTCTCTATTTTGGGTTCCCTTTTGTGCACCCATTCTTTTTCTGATATTTTCAGATCTGGCTTGCGAAAGTCAAACTTTTTTCCCAGTATACTGTAGTATAGCTCTTCTAGTAACTAACTAGTACTTCTCCCCATATAGGTCTATACAGTACATCAGACCAAAAAGAAGGACAAATGAGAAACAAAGAGGAACGAAGGGACTCCAAATCAGGGACATTGGAAACTATGGTACTTACATTGAATGGGAAGTGTTCCTACTGGTGGCTGCTCTCATAGTTGAAATCTTCTGTTCCCCCCCCCCCCCCCCAACCATATCCTCATATCCTGACAACAGTAATCTTCTGGTACTGCTTGGAGTTACTACAATCATTAGACCTGTCATAGACATTCAGCTAGAGTGCCAGCTATGCTCTCTCTTTTCAATCTGTACTATCAGTTCCCGTAATGAAAAGTGCTCTATGAGTAGATGAAGCATTTCATCCATCCACCTGTCCTCCACTCATAGAGTTTCTGGAAGCTACAGCTTGGCTGCTTTGACAAGTCCAGCAGCTGTATTAACCCACGCAGCACCACTATGGGGGTATTGGTGGTGGGGCGGGAGGGGGACTGGAGACAGAAGATTTCAACTAAAAGATCAGCAACCAGTGCTGCATAGGTTCCTATTGTATTTTAACATGTAAATACACACTGAATCATATATCCACCCACCTGAGCTGCTGAGGTCCTCCAAGAGTCAGGGTCCCTGCTGTTTAAGACAGAAGGGAGAGCATCTGGTGTTGGAGCACATAATGACCTTTGTTTTGAGGGTCAGTACAGAAAGGTGAGAGTTTGCCCATAAGAGATTCACCATGGTGGTGGTGTTTTCTACTTGCATGTTCTTGCAGCACTTACCTGGGAGTGATGAGTAACACAAGTTGTATGGGACTACTACATTCACAAATATATTGACTTTTGCTGTTTTATTGTTTATGATTGGCTGATACTTGTTTTTTTTTTTTATTAGTAGACATAGAACACCAGATTATGGACAGTGGTTATTACTGACAGATACATTATTGATAGCACAGCATTTACTCTATAATATACATTCAGTTGATTTTTATGCTTTTTAATTATTCACACACAATTGCTAAAGTGTAAGGCTGGCCATACATTATACAGTTTTCCTGAACAATTATATTTACCAAAAACACATAATATGAGGTCAAACCTAAATGCTTTCAAGTTTTATTCAATCAAGCAGGCAATTGCACTACATACAGTAGTTGAAGGTAAAGCCTTAGTAAATAGATAGGAAGGAATATTATATTTCTTGGCTTTAAACTTTTTTCTTTACATTTCTTCAGGTGCATCCTCATTCCCGGGCTAGGCAAAATGATATCATACATCCCAGAAGTTTTCATTTGCATCATCTTCAGTTATTTGGATAAAGGCACCCTGCTGCTTGCATGCCTGCTCTAAGGGCAGATGGATTCCAGTAAGTTAATGCTACATGAATCAGCTGACCTTATTTAGGATGAACTATAAATGCTAGGGGATGATTTTAAAGTAATTTAATAACAAAATAAATCATAGAGACATGGGTGGATGGGTACGTGTGCTTTGAATATTAAAAAATAGTTAAATAGCACTTTTGGTTTGTAGTGCTCAGATATAGTTAACTTCCGCTTTAAGATGTTTAGAGGAATAGCTTTGTTATATATAACTAGTTCTGGTCCAGGGAGTATCTGGTTGCCTTTGGGCATTAGTGATTTTTTTGTTACACCTGGCTTGGAACAAATTGTACTATGCATCCTTTATAAGGGTTTTTTTTTTGCCGTTCTCTGGATCAACCACACGTTTAGGATCACAAGGATGCAAGGTGTTTGTTTTACTGGTTAAATAGAAATGTGCCGCTTTTTATCTTGGTTAACTACTGATGTAACTCTGTAAAAGTGGAAAGGTCTGCCATTTCAGTGTCTACTGGTGCTGCAACACAGAGAAAATGTTTGCCAAGTGCAAGTCTCTGATGAAACAATTTGCTGTAAAAATCTTCTGCACCAAGTGCCGAGGGTTGCTGGAGTGTGCCAGGATTGTGCACTGAGCGCTCTATTTTGAATCAATTGAGTGTACAAGAGAGGAACACTAGGGATACAAAACATTAACTTGCAAAAATGAAAGTTAACTTTTGATACTTTTAAGGTACTTTGCGCAGTAACATACACTGTATTAAGGCAGCTGAATAAAACTTTAAATCACAACAGATGAAACAGTGTACATGCACCATTTTCAATGCAGTGAGCCAAAGTACATAGCATGTGCCTCCTGATATCCTGCAACACACTTTTTTTCTTTTTTCTATTTTTAATTATTTATTATTATTTTTTAATAATGCAACTGTATCTGACAGTTACACTATTAAATAGATGGCGCCGCAGAATACTGTAGCCTGTAGGTGGCCGTGTTCATCTGCTGGTCTTCATTGTTATCATTGAAGCCTCCAGCTTTTATGTATTTGCTGTGTTTGTGCCAGCATAGTGATCACATGATCAAGAACCACTCTGATTAGTTCCCAATCATAAATGGGGACATTGGCTGTGATTGAGAGCTGAAAGTCTTTCAAAAGGAAGGACATATTCTCAGCACACGGCATCTTGCTGGGGAAAGTTAATAAGCAAATTGGAGACAGGAACAAAATAATACATAAGGGACAACTTTAAGGATACATCTTCTGGGAGACTGTGATGGCAGCCATTGATGACCTCTTTTTCTGCTAGTGCCTAGTCTGTCATGCTGACCTAATAGCTTCAGCAAGTTCTGAGTCACTGATCTGAAACAAAAAAAAGCATATCATTTTTTTTAACTTTGCCTGCTGGTGTAAACTTGTTGAGTGACGCAGAAAGTCAGGGGTAACAATAAAATTAGTATTTTTAGATGGAGGTCAGCAACATCTCACAACACAGGTTTCTTCTTTATATTGAAGTTGCCAAAGCTGTCATAGTGATGGTTCAACAGTGAGGAGCAAGAAGCAGTAGAGGGCAGGAGCAAGTGCAGTTTCAGGAGCAAGAAGAGTCTGCAAAAATAATCCGTTGGTAGTCCGATCAACAGAGGCGTCCAAATGTATTTATAGAAAGGGTCAGATAGATCGCAAAATGGTGAAATAAAGACATTTGATGTTCATTAAAGCAGATGACTCTGACCCATTCTTAGACATATAACTTTTTGCACCTCTCCCAATTGGACCACTGGTGGGTTATTGTTGAAGACTCCTCTTGTACCTATCAATTCCATGTACCCATCTGAGAATTCTGCAGAAGACCCAGAATGGGAACTCCCAAAGCATAGAGAGTGACCACTCTTATTCTGTGTGGAGACAGGTTTTCTCCATACGCATACTTGGAAGGTTGCATTTTCCCACCCATTTGGGGTGACAACAGACTGAACAGATGTAAATTATTTTTTATTTTCTCTTTTCCTATTTTGGGAGCATGTGTGAAGTCATTTGTAAAGTATTTGATCTTTTTTGACTCAATTTACGACACTATGTGGGCTCTCTCTCCATGAGCAACACCAGAGACCACTGGCTTGCTCTTCAGAACCAAACCCATCAAGCCACAGCTGACCACCATACCCTAAATTTAATTTCAGGAGCAGGCATTGCACCATAAATTAAACATTTAATTGTCTTTTTCTGCCCCTTGCAAATTTTGCTGCATTTTTTTATTTACTATTTCTACAACATAGGGACATTTTAAGAACAGCTGTGAATTTGATTTGAAAGTTGCATGGTCTTCCTAAAGTCACTGCTGTTTGGGAGCTCTAGAATAGAACATTCCGTATGTGTACTCATTTACAAAGATGCCTAGAGATTCTAAACTCTGAACTGAAAGGTTGCTGGAAGGATGTGCCTTTAGTAAACAGCATTATGCTACATGGATATCCACAGACAGGTGAGCAATGATTACCAGAAGTGATTTAGTTACCAATTCTATTTTTGGTGGGCAGGCTGGTGTTTGGAGCTGTTTACAAATCACTGCTTTACCATTCCTAATTGTTTAGCAATGGTAGTTTGAATATTTTACTAAAACTGGAGAGTGCAAAATCTAATGCAGCTCTGCATAGAAACCAATCATCTTACATGTTTTACTGTCAAAGCTTAATTGAATAAGCTGAAGTTAGAAGCTGATTGGCTACCATGCACAGCTGCACCACATTCAGAGTGCTTCACGTTTAGTAAATCTCCCTCACAATGTTTTACATTGAATTTACATTTGCATGATACATTTATACTTGTAAATACATTTGTTTTTATGTACTGTATTTTTTGCTCCATAAGACGCACCTGACCATAAGACGCACCTAGGTTTTAGAGGAGGAAAACAAGAAAAAAAATATTCTGAACCAATGGACTGCAGACACAGTACAGGAGATGACCAAAGACTGCAGACACAGTACAGGAGATGACCAAAGACTGCGGACATAATAAAGAAAATGACCAGAGACTGCGGACATACTACAGGAGGTGACCAGAGACTGCGGACAAAGTACAGGAGATGACGAGATGACCAGAGACTGCGGAAACAGTACAGGAGATGACCAGAGACTGCAGACACAGTACAGGAGATGACCAGAGACTGCGGACACAGTACAGGAGATGACCAGAGACTGCGGACACAGTACAGGAGATGACCAAAGGCTGCAGACACAGTACAGGAGATGACCAGAGACTGCTGCAGACATAGTACAGGGGATGACCAGAGGCTGCAGACACAGTACAGGAGATGACCAGAGGCTGCAGACATAGTACAGATGACCAGAGACTGCAGACACAGTACAGGAGATGACCAGAGGCTGCAGACACAGTACAGGGGATGACCAGAGGCTGCAGGCACAGTACAGGGGATGACCAGACACTGTGGACACAGTACAGGGGATGACCAGAGACTGTGGACACAGTACAGGGGATGACAAGACACTGCGGACATAGTACAGAAGATGACCAGAGACTGCGGACAGTACAAGGGATGACCAGAGACTGTGGACAGTACAGGGGATGACCAGAGACTGCAGACAGTACAAGGGATGACCAGAGACTGCGGACAGTACAGGGGATGACCAGAGACTGCTGACAGTACAAGGGATGACCAGAGACTGCAGACAGTATAGGGGAATGTCCAGACTGCGGACAGTACAGGGGATGACCAGAGACTGCAGACAGTACAGGAGATGACCAGAGAGACTGCGGACACAGTACAGATGACCAGAGACTGCGGACACAGTACAGGAGGTGACCAGAGACTGCAGACAGTACAGGAGATGACCAGAGACTGCGGACACAGTACAGATGACCAGAGACTGCGGACAGTACAGGGGATGACCAGAGACTGCGGACAGTACAGGGGATGACCAGAGACTGCGGACACAGTACAGATGCCCAGATACTGAAGACAGTACAGGGGATGACCAAGAGACTGCGGACCTTTGGGGAGGGAGGGGGAGTGGGTACCTGAATTTGACAGGTACCCGCACCCACTTCCGCGAAGTTGTCCTCCCTTTAGTATGGGCACCCTGCTGTGACAGTTGAGTGCCCACACTAAAGAAGCCGACGCCGGAAGCCTCTACAGTGCTGGACCGAGGAACAGGTAAGGTCCTACTGCAGAGAAGAGACGAGCGGCCGGCCCAGTATTCTAACACGACAGCAGTGGGAATACCGGACTGGCCGCTCCATATTCGCTCCATAAGACGCACTGACATTTTGCCCCCTTTTTTGGGGGGAAAAAGTGCGTCTTATGGAGTGAAAAATACGGTAATTTACACATCAATTTCTGCCCCTGTAGAAACATGCAGCTGGCCCAGGGGTGTCAAACTCAATTTCATCATGGGCTGCATCAGCATTATGGTTGCCCTCAAAGGGCTGGTTGTGTCTGTAAGACTATATAAATGTATCTACTCTTTATCTTATTAAATAATTGTCTTTCTTTCGATTAATGCTGGTTTTAGTAATAAGTTAAGACAGCTGTGAAGGACAGGTGCAGACCGACATGGTGCCCAATTACACTTCTGTAGCATAGGATGCAAATCTGAAAAGGAGATTCGCACACCTAGGACCAGATTTAGACCTGGGGGGCCCGGGGCACTTCAGGTTTCGGGGGCCCCTCATTCATAGAGTTGGTTTACATTCTCAATGACAGTCACACATTTTTAAATTGACACAACATCATTCTGAGGTTATGCGTACACACACACATATACACACACATACACACACAAACAGTCATAGTGCACTATGTGTGGTTCTCTTCACTTTTGATAACAATATGATATACCAGTCCAGGGTAAATATATTTTTACAGATGATGGCGGGCAAAATATTACTTCCCTATATACATTTAATAAAATATTTTGTTTTATTATTTTATATTTATTTTATTATTGTTTATTATTATTATTGTATATAATTTTTTATATTGTTTTATATTATTTTTGTATAAAGGAGGGACCTTTCTGTCAGGGGGGGCCTGGGCTGTTACCATTTTGCTCCCTATATATCATCCACAAGAAACATTATTGGAGACTGCTCAGACTGAACATGGTTCTGCCATGGTGTTCTGGTGCCTTTTCAACTGGTATAGAATTGTATTATACTCAGAATAATTATAAGAAGATGTCAACAGCACCCTATCCCTCCCCCCCCCATTAGATATCAAGAGCCCCACCCGGTATCAGAAGTCAAGTGCCTCCCCACCCTTCCTTACATCTAACTGAACCCCCTTACCTTTTTCTGCTGCCGGGAAGAAGCTGGAGGTGAAGCTCTGCGAAGTCAGGATCCTCTAGACAAGCCCAGTAGCAATCAGCTTGGATTTCTGATACAAGTTGACTGTTTGCAAGCTGCAAGGCTTCTAAATGAAATATGAGAATGCTCATGAGCCCCCTCACAGTTCACTGGTTACCACAAGCCGCCAGCTGTAGTTCTTTCATTCACAGGTCACTGGCGGAGCCTCACACAGCCGCATTATTTTAAAAATGTGACAGCGGGTGCGGGGAGAAGATCCCCTGCCCACTGTCACAGGGAGGAGGTGGATCGAGGGGGTTCGTCTGGAGCATGTTATACATTACACCCGAATTATGGGTGTAACATGTAACATGCTTTGAATGAACAGATGCAGCCACTGTTTTTTATTTTTGACAGTCAGCTCGGCTGGCTGCCAAAATACAATAGGCTCAGTAGAAGTTTTGTCCATTCACTCTGTATGCAGCTATGGCATCATTCAGCAGCAGGGAGGAGCCAGGAGTTTTTATTTTTTTTTATTAAACATGAGCCTTTAATATCACTTTTGGAGTAAAGCTGGCCTATACTAGTAACATTTCTTTTGACAATTCTCATCAGAAAGTTCTTTGAACATTCTTTCTTGTCGTCATTGAGCCAACTAACTTTGTTTGAAAGCCCTTCACCCAGATCTGCTATTTGAATGTAATCCCAGGCATATTATAACAGTTTCATTACAATATGTATCTATTTTGTGGAATTTTACCTGAACAATAACCACATTCACAGAATGACAGAATTTTTATCAATCGAGAAAAATGTTCCATCCTGTTCCTTTGTCTTTTTTCATTACTATGGTTGAAAACGAACCCACTAACCATAGAAAATCAGCAAACATTATAAAAATGAACATTTTGTACAAAATTCTACTAGAGTATGGCCAGCTTATTGAACTGAAGCACAGAAAAAAATCTCCATGGAGATGCTGTTCCAGTAGGGAACCCAACCCAAGACCCTGGTACTGCATGAAATGCTAACTAGGTGCTTATATCACCATTATTACATTTACTGATATACACCCCCATTTCTAGCCAAAACCTTTTGTTTGCATTTAGTGTTTTAATTGCAAAACAAAAAATGCAGCCTTCCCCAATTATCAAGGTAGATTACATTCATGAGCCAAGTGTATCAATTCTAAAATAAAACTACCTATATGGTCAAATAGCTACTAAAAGATTCAGACTTTAAAGTGTTACTAAATCCACAACAGTAAAATCAGTCTCTCTATGCAGTAAAGCATGCTTGTTATACTCAACGTGGAATCTAAGGGAGGAATCCTTTGCATTGTGCAAAAATGCTGTTTGATCCTGACTTCTCTGATCCTCCCCTTCTTTCAGTGCCCCCTCTTATCTCCTGATAAGATATATCATGTGGAGTCACTTTGTACATGCTCAGTTTGGTATGTATTGCTAGAGAGGGTTTTTTTTTGGGGGGGAGAGTGCATGTGATCAGCACAGGGCCAATCAGCACTGTCCAGACAGAGGTCAGAGGTTCTATATTCTCCTAGAACAAAATGAAAACTCCTCCTACAAGCTTTAACCAGAGCTCTGCTTTACACTGATAGAAGCCACACGACTGCTTTAATTGCTGATGAGAAAAGGTATTTAGCAGTTTATATTTACTAAAATAATTGCATTTCCATGTTCTGTGTATTGTAGGAGACCAAATATAGTGGATGCAGAGTCCTGGGTTTAGTAACACTTTAACATTTGTTCATTTAGGTGCATTGGTGACCATCTGGTAGATAGTTCACAGCTTTAGCTATTTTCTTCATGTTGAGTGCATACTGTACATAATAAAGCCCTCCATAGATGAAGTGGTTTCCTTTCCTACAAGCATGGGTCAGGGCAGCTGTCCCTGCTGGGAAAACACAGTGATTATTGCTAGCAGGTAACGGTTGTACGCAAGTCGTACAACAATTAAATTGAGTACAATCAGCCTGCCCATAGTTGTTTTGAATCTTGGCCGATCCCTGCTGACCTGGCCGGGATTTGAACCATCTATGGCCATCTTAAGCAATTTGTAAGTGTATCACTTACAGGTATTTATTGTCTTTCCTAGAGATAACTGTACCTCCCCTGACAATGCAATTATCTGCTTTTCTCTCTAAAAGGACAGAGTAATCTTTAAAGGGGCAACATCCAGGTCCAGCATCCTGTTGTGTGTGCAGTTCTTTTCTGTTTTTTGAATCCTTGACACAGATTAGCCCCCCGCTATGGCCTCTCACCTGCTACAAAGTTACAATGTTAAAAAGGTGCAACTTTTTCTGAAAAAATATTCTGTTGCTTTATATTGTGACATGACATATTCATCCAGATTTGTAAAATTACTGAAAGTCTCACTTTCCATTGCTACACTACCATCTGAAATTGACTAAATTCACCCAAAATATTTAGCAGTCTTTCAAAAAAAACTGCAACATTTTTCTAATCCACCCGTAACAACAAATATACGATAGAATGAAGATGATGCGAAACAAATTCTGAACATGAATTTGTTCAGCATAATGAATTTGCCAAAAGAAAATTCTTCAAGAAACAAAGGCATCCAAAACTGAATGAATATATCTGGCATGCACATGTCTAGTAACATATAACATAGTGTACAACATTTAGAGGTAAGGGCTGTATAGCATACAAACTGGCTTAAAAAGTGCAGTGGTCAGGATTATGTAGTGTATAGAGTGCAGTGGTCAGGACTATGTAACATACAACACAGCATATAGAATACAGCGGTCAGGACTATGCAGCATTTACAGTGCAGCAGTCATGACTACGTAATATACAGCATAGTACATTCAGTGCAGCCTTCAGAGTGCAGTGGTCAGGACTATGTAACATACAACACAGCATATAGAATACAGCGGTCAGGACTATGTAGCATTTACAGTGCAGCAGTCATGACTACGTAATATACAGCATAGTACATTCAGTGCAGCCTTCAGAGTGCAGTGGTCAGGACTATGTAACATACAACACAGCATATAAAATACAGCGGTCAGGACTATGCAGCATTTACAGTGCAGCAGTCATGACTACGTAATATACAGCATAGTACATTCAGTGCAGCCTTCAGAGTGCAGTGGTCAGGATAATGCAATTGCACAGCACAGATTGCAGAGTGCAGTGGTCTGAAGTAATTGTCCCCTTTTGTTGGTGGTCAGTGTGCCTTCTTCATTGGTGATCTGTCTGCCCTTTTATATCAGTGATCCCCCTTATAATGGTGGTCAGTGGACCCTCTCACATTGGTGGCCAGTTGCTCCCTTTATTGGTGGGCAGTTTTCCACCTCCATTGGTGGTCAGTGCATAGGGTGCCCTTTTACATTGGTGGTCACCTCATGTCCCCTTTATTGCAGTCCAGTTTACCCCATTATTTGGTTGTCATTGTGCCCTTTATTGCATTGATAGTCAGTGGCTTTTGCCTCCTTACTGCTGGCGGTCAATGGGAGTTATATTAATTACATAACTGGTAAAAACTGCAAAGGTCCCATGTGGCTCTCTCCCAGACTCAGGGTCTCTGCATGGTGACCCTTGGCCAGCTTCAAGTTGGATATCCCTTCTCCCAACACTGTCTTCATAGAACAACGCAAGTTGTTCTGACAGTAGGAGAGATTTGTTATGCTAACATGCTTTTGCTAGTCCCAGGGCATCGGGCACGGGATACATGTCATTGCCTATATTTCTTTATCCCCTCGGTGAAAAAGTTTTGTGAATCAAAGTAAATATCCCAAGGGGACAATTTAAATTGTTAATAATGCTTGAAGTATTTCCTTTGCTTTCATCTTTGATGAATCAAGTGGTATTATCACATACTATAGTCAGATGATAACACTTGAAAAATCACA